TAATGGGGTATCATGTGATATTTCAATGCATGTATGCACTGTGTAAGGTTAAGCACATTTATCTTCTCTAACAGTAATTCTTACTTTGTAGAGAAAACTTCTAAAATACTTTTAGCTTCTTGAAATGCACAGAATAGTTTGGTATTTATAATTATTAGTATTTATTTATTTATTTAAAAAATTTTTTTTGAGGCAGGGTCTCCCTGAGCCCCAGCTGTCCTGGAATTCTATGTAGACCAGGCAGGCCTGGGTGAGATCTGTCTGCCTCTCCTCCCCAGTGCTGGGATTAAAGCTGTGCACCACCATGCTGGGCTCTAATTACCACTTTATAATAGCACACTAGAACCTCTTGTTGCTGTCTTGACTATAACTCAACACTTATTGATCAACATCTCTCTATCCTTCCTCACTTCTACTTTCCCCAGGCTCTGATAACCACCAGCTACTTGCAGGTTCTGTGAGTCAACTATTTTTAGATTTCAAGAGTGAGATCATGTGGTACTTAGGTTTTTGTGCCTGGGTTATTTGCTTAACATAATGATTTCCAGATTCCACACATGTTGTAAGTAATAGGATTTCATTCTTTTAAAAACGCTTGTTTTTGCTGGGTGTGGTGGCGCATGCCTTTAGTTCTAGCACTGGAGAGGCGGAGGCAGACAGATCTCTGTGAGTTCAAGGCCAGCCTGGTCTACATAGTGAGTTCCAGGCCAGCTGGGGCTACAGGGAGACCCTGTCTCAAAAAGACAAAAAACAAAACCCAAAACAAACAAACAAACAAAAAATGTTTGTTTTTAATACTTCCACAGATCTTTTTGAGAGTGTCTATGTAGTGTAGGTTAGTCTTGAAACGGTAATCCTCCTGCCTCAGCCTTTTGAATGATGGGATTACAGACAAGTGCCACCATACTTGACAAAAGATTTGACCTTTTATTAGTTAGAATGTTTGTTTTAGAATTCTGTGTTTATTTTTAATGTGGTAAAATGTGTTTTCCATATCTCCTTGCTATCCATCCTCACCAGTTGCCTGTGTCATTTGCTTATCTAGTTTGAATAACCTAATCCAGTATTGGAAACCAAAGTACTTTATTAGAATTAAGATACAGGGTTGAGACTGTACCTTAGTGGTCTAGCAGCACAAAGCTCTAGGTTGGGTCCCCAGCCCAATAAAAAAATTAAAATAATTAGGAAGAAGTAGTTAAAAGCATTCTTTCTTATAAAAAATTGTTATGGGCTGAAGAGATGGCTCAGTGGTTAAGAGCACTGATGGCTTTTTCAGAGGACCCAGGTTCGACTCCCAGCACCCACATGGTGGCTATGAACCATCCTTAACTCCAGTTCCAGGGGAATCCGAAGCCCTCTTCTGACCTCCATGGCATTGCACAACATGGGTGCACTCACATACATGCAGGCAATACACTCATACACATAAATAAAAAAATAAAATATTAAAAAAATTTGTTAAAAGTAAAATAAAGTGACTTTAAAATACAGAGTCTCATTTTATTTGAAATGGTTTGCTATATAGCCCAGGCTTACTTGGTCTCTCAAGTGCTAGGATTAGATATATGCCACCATATCCAGCAACTATATAAGTTTTAAACATTTTTATGTATGCTATACACTCAGCAGTCAACTAAGACCTAACAATTATTTTCAGAATAGTATTTTTTTGGTCTTTTTTTTTTTTGAGACAGGGTCTCCCTGTAGCCCCAGCTGTCCTGGAACTCACTATGTAGACCAGGCTGGCCTTGAACTCACAGAGATCTGCCTGCCTCTGCCTCCCGAGTGCTGGGATTAAAGGCGTGTGCCACCATACCCAACCAGAATAGTAGTTTTAAACACATAAAATGAAATACCTAAAATGATTATAGTTGGAATATGAACTATCTCTTCCCAGTCTTACTGTTGAATGAATGATTTGTCTCTAGCTGTGGCACTATTTTGGGAGGCTCTGCAAATTTCAGGAGGTGGAGCCTAATTGGAAGAAGTAGGTCACTAGATGGCTTTGGGGCTGTATCTTTTCCTGGTCCTCTCTCCCTTTTCTGCTTTTTGTTCATCATGAGATGAGTAGTCTCTGTGCAGAATTAGCAGAGTCAAGAAATATGGATTGAATATTTTGTCTTTGTTTGTGAGTCTGAGCCTTTAATGGATGAGCCAACTCTCCAGCCCTGAGTTGAATATTTTGAAACCATCAGCCAAAATAAATCCATCCTTCTCTTAAGTTGTTTATGACAGGTACTTTTTTTCCCCAGAGTGACAGAGAAAATTGGTACCAAAGAAATGGGTCTCATTGCTGTGACAAAACTTATCATGTAGGGCTAGGCAAGCACTCTACCACCAAGCAAGATCCCCGGTCCCTGCTTTGCACATTAGAAAAAACTTCATATTTAACTTTTGAACAATGTTGGAAGCATTAAGACTATGGAGATTCTGGAGTCGAACTAACATTTCGCACTGTGAAAGGGACGTGGCCTTTGGGGTCCAGGAGCAAAATGATATAGTTTGAATATGAAATGTCCTCCACAGGGTCATTACTGAAGACTTGGCCCTTAGCTGGTGGCACTATTTTGGGAGGATTTAGAAAGTTTAGGAGGTAGGGTTTAGGACTAGGTCATTGAGGAAGTGTTCTTGTGGTCTGTATCTTGTCTTCTCCCCCATCCTCACTCCTGTTTGCCATGGGGTGAGTAGTCTTTGCCAAATGCTCCCTGCCACCATGATAATCTGTCTCATCATGTGATGAGAACCAATGGAGCCAAGAACTGTGGACAAAATCCTTTGAAACCATGAAACCTCTGAAGCTGAAATAAGTCTTTCCTCCTTCAAGTTGTTCAAATCAAGGATTTAGTCACAGAAATGAAAAAGGGAAACAAAGAATACCAAAGAACACACTTCTATCCACAGACTCTTGAGGTTTGTGTACATTTTTTGATCAGATTTAAAAAATGTAGACTCTTGGGGCTGGAGAGATGATTCAGAGGTTAAGAGCACTGGCTGCTCTTGCAGAGGACCTGGGTTTGACTCCCAGCACTGACATGGCAGCTAACAACTGTCCATAATCCCAGTTCCAGGGGATCAGACACCATCTTTTGACCTCTGTGGGCACTGCATGACATAGGTGCACTTATATACATGCAGGCAATACACTCATACACATAAAAAAATTAAAAAAGAGAGGGTTATTGGACTGTGGACAACACATAAACATTTATACTCTCCTGTACTGGAAGCTGAAAAATCATAGTTTTTTTCAGTATTTGCTCCCTATAAAATTCTTTATCTTTGCCCTCCTCCATGTTTAGGTCTTATTAATATAAGGGAATTTTAGTTTCTACATTGATTTATAAAGAGTAATCATGATAGTGAAATAAAGGAATGGTTAGGAAGAACACAGTGGTAGTAGAATCTTTTTAGTTGGTAATTTTTAGGTGTATGCATAACTCAAGTCTCTGAGCTAGAGGGAGACATTTATTTTATGTGTACGAGTGTATTGCCTGCATGTGTGTAAGTACACCTGTGTTGTACAATCCTACAGAGATCAGAAGAGGAGGTCGGATTCTCTGGAACTGGAGTTATAGATGGTTGTTATCTGCCATGTGAGTGCTGGGAACTGAACCCTGGTCCTTTGCAAGAGCAGTCAGTGCTTTTAACTGCTGATCCATCTCTCCAGTCCCAATTTCTCCTATCTTAATACCATTCACCACTCTATCCTGTATTTGAATTATTCAAGCTATAAATTCAGTTAGCTTGATACCTTTCTATCTCCGTCTCCCTCCCTCTCTCCCTCCTTCTTTCTCTGACATATATATATATATATATGTCATATATATCATATACATATATATGAATATCTAAAGTGAATCGAAAGTGAATGTTAATATCAGGGGACATCTGTTTTAGATTTTCTAATAATACTAAAAATGAAGTCCCTATAAATGAGGTTTAATAACACTCTAGATTTTGACATGAAACCAAAATTTGGGATTTATTTCATATTTATAGTACAAGTGTAAAGGCAATGAAGGGATGCAGTGAGCAGTCATAGCAGTGAGTGGTGATGCGCTTTAATGTAGACTGTCTTGATATTGAGTTCTACACATAGGATGGATCAGAGGCATACATATGAATGCAAACTAGCTAATATCCATTTTATTGCAGAGTATGCCTCCTTACATCTTCAAACTAAAATACACATGAATTACCACCCAAACAGTTAACCAATCTGCAATTCTTTACTAGAGATAAAGTCCATTTCTCTAATGTGATGATCCTGAGTCTCACTAAGAAATCCAGTCATAAAGGAATAGAGAGAATTCCCTGCTATATGACAGATGGGCCATATATATTGAGAATATATAGAGGGATCTAATTAGATTACTATTTTTTGGGGGCTTGAATCTGGTTTTGAGAACACACAAATGTATTCCTAAGCCTAAAAATGAGATTGATGTTTCATTTCCCCACAAATGTCATGTATTATTGAAACAGATAATTCTATGTGCCATATGTAGACTAGGAAAATTAGAGATAAAAAGTAGATTAAGAGGTACCAAGGACTAAAGAAAGAAGAGAAAAGAGAAAGGGGATTTAATTACTTAATGAGAACAGAGCTTCTATTTGAGGTTATGGAAAATTTTGGAAATGGTAGTGATAATTTTCACAGCATTGTGAATATAATTAAGGACATTGAATTGTACACTTAGAATAGTTAAGATGATAAGCTTAAGTTAAATTTATTTTACCATAATTAATAAAACATTTTGACCTTATTTTACCATAATAAATAAAACATTTTGACCGTGTTTTATATATAACACCTTCAAAACTAGTTAATAAGAATTATAGTTTATTTAGAATTTATTTCCTTACCATAAAATAATTCACAAATTCTGTACTTTTGATCTAGGATTGGATAAAAGATATCCAAAGATTTTCTTTTCCAGAAGAGAAATTTGGAAAAGTATAATGGAAGAAAAACAAAAAAATAAAAATAAACTCCTTACTTTAATTGGTTCAGGCTGCATTACAGGTGTAGGCATAGTAATGGCACTGGAAGCATAAACTTGGTGATATGCTGCTTGAACTCCATGGTCAGAATAAGGCTGTTCCAAAAGAGCCAGTGAGGAAGCATGGATGGGGGAAGGGAGGGAGAAAATGAGAGGGGCATTACTTTCATTTGATAATTGAAATATTTATTCGGCATTTAAAATATGCTATGTCTTCTGCTGCATGATAGAACCAGAAAAAACTCACTACATTTAATTAACTTATAGTCTGATTTATAGATAGTAGTCTAAATTAACATATGTCCTATGAGACATGTGCATGATACGTGGGAAAATACTTGATTATGCTTAAGAAAGGTGAAGGTGGTGGTCAGGAAAAATTTCTTATGGAGTTGATGTTTGATGGTGAAGAATTACAGACAGAATGACAGACAGTAAGGTTAAAGTTCTTAGTGAAGTTGATGTTTGATTGTGAAGAATTACAGACAGAACGACAGACAGTAAAGTTAAAATCATACAAGTACCTCTGATGATAGCTCTTTTGAGATATCTGCTCAGGTTGTTTGAGTAGGAGGAAGATTATGCACTAAGGGGGAAAATGAGACAGTAGAGCAACAGGCAGAGGACATAATTTAAAAGCAGAATAATTTATTTTTTAGATTATTTTTATTTTATGTGTGTGAATGTTTTGCCTGCATGTATGTATGTGTACCATGTATGTGCAGTGTCTGCAGAGGCCAAAAGAGGACATAGGATCCCCTGTAGGTGGAGTTACAGATGGTATCAGCTACCATGTGAATGCCAGGAACCAAATCCTGGGCCTCTCTAAGAGCAGCAAGTGTTCTTAACTGCTGAGCCATCTCTCTAGCCCTCCAAATTAGACTTAAATGACAATGAATGCTGGTGAGGATGTGGGGAAAGAGGAACGCTTATTCATTGCACATGGTGTGTAAACTGGCAGCATCACTATGGAAATCACCACAGAGATTTATCAAAAAAATAAAAATATAAGTACCACATTACCCAGCTATACCAATCTTGGGCATATACCCAAGGGATTCTATACCCCAGGACAGAGATACTTTCACATGTTTATTGCTGCTCTATTCACAATAGCAAGAAAATTGAATTAGCCTATATCTACCAACAGGTAAGTGGATAGTGAAAATGTGGTATATACACACAATGAAATTTTATTCAGCCATAAAGAAAATACATATTTTCAGAAAAATGGATGGATCTGGAAATTTTATTAAGTGAAGTAACCCAGACTCAGAAAGACAAGAAACATATGTTCTCTTTCATATGCTGTTCCTAGTTTTAAAATTATATATATATGAATAAATGTGAGGATGTATGGGTGTAGGTCATGAAACTAGAAGCTAGAAAGGAGATCACAAGATGAGAAAAAGAAGTATTAGGGGTAGGGTAGTAGAACCCATGTGACATGAAAGTGAAAAGGAGACTACTGGGGGTGGAAGTCTACAAGGGGGCACTCAGGGAGATGGAAAAGAGTATGAGAGAAGGAACAACTAAAACAAATTTTGCGTGAATGTTACCATAAAGGAATACATTATTTTGTATCCTACATAAAAACAAATATAAAATAGTGAGGAAATAAAGTAAAAGCAGATTTGTGGCTTGTACAACAGATTGTGTAACCACTCACTAGAACCTAAGAAAGACCTGATGTCTACATAATTGTGAGAGGGCTAGAGAAGAAGCATTAGGGTTTCTGAACTATATAGATTTGTAGATTCTAGAAGTGTACTGTCAATAGAAGGATAGATGGCTATATAGTAGCACTGTCCAACAGAAGCATGTAAACTATACACACTAAACATTTCCAGATAGAAAAAAGAAACAGAGGTAAAAATAACTTTTCATAATATGTTTATATTTAAACTAATAGATTCAAAAGTATTATCTACAATATACCAATATTAAATCATGAATTTTAAAACACTGTTTAATATTATGTGTCCAAAACCTGGTATATATTTTACACTTATGGGACATCTCATTCATTCTGCATTTTAAGCACTCAATTTCCATATGTAGCTAGTGATTATTATCATGAATAGTGCAAGGCAAAACTCAAGAGTGATGTTGGTGCATGGATATGGAAAACATCAGACTGAGTATGTAGGGCAAAAGAATGGAGAACCAAACATGAAATTACAGGGAATAAAAGGTCAGCATACAAAGTAAATAAAAACTGGCAAAGGAATTCCAGAAGAGGAAAGCATTGTGGAAACAGGTGGGAAAGTCTTTCAAATTTTTACAATGTTTCTAAGAGGTCAAGCAATATAAAAAAGGATGGTAAGTAGGAAGGAACTTTTAAGGACCCTTTCCAAAAGCAGCTTCAGCAGAAAGACAATGAAGTGGGCTCTAGAGGGTTGGAGTGAAAGGATGCTGATGCAAGGGAAATGCTGGCTATTGCCTACCATTTCAAGAATCTTGGTTTTGAAAGGTAAAAGAGAATTAGGAGATCAGAGGAAAAATGTGTAAAAGGATAATAATTGAGTCTCACAAAGTGCTATGTACTATTTAAAAAATCTTGTATGAAACATCTCTAATATTTAATCCTGCAAAACAGTTTCCTGATGGCTTCACTTTTTACAAATAAGATCATTATTTAGCTTGTCTGTGAAGGTTAAGCAATTCCCCAAAGTACCACAGTAAAGTGTTGAAGCTGTGAACCTACCGGAGATAAAATAACTTAAAATACAAGAGGAAAAATCGAATATGATGGAATGAGATTCCTGAGAGGAAGGAACTGAAGGGATCCAGAGCACAAAAGGCAGAAACAACTTTGGATAAGACTGTCACTTGCTGGGCATGGTGGCACATGCCTTTAATCCCAGAACTTGGGAGGCAGAGGCAGGCAGATCTCTGTGAGTTCAAGGCCAGCCTGGTCTACATAGTGAGTTCCAGGACAGCTGGAGCTACAGGGAGACCCTGCCTCAAAAAAAAGACTAAGTCACTAAATAAATATAAAAATCCACGAATGAGTTAGGACTTAAGTAAGTTTATATTATATGCTGAGAGCTGGAGGCCCAGTTGGGTTTTGTGAGTTGTTTTCTACTTTTCCTGTGAAACAGAAAATAAAGATTTTTTTCTAAAAGGGTGAAATTGGCAATATTAAAGGCGTGGCAGAAGTTTAAAATAGTGATTGAAATAAGTGGCTGAAGATACTAATTTTTTTGTTTTCTTTTTGGAGATACCCACTTACACAATAAAGCATTCTAGTCTACTGATTACATTATACATTAGTCAGAGTATACCTTCTGCCACAGCAATAATCAAAATAAAAGATGGCAAGTATCATTCTATATGGAAATACCATACAAGGTACAAGTTATATAAGGCCACACTTTGTAGTATTTTTAGAAAAGATCTCATTAGGTTCTAATGAGAAGTGAATATACCTTGATGATGAGTATCTGGTATGAGGGTTTAAGAATATGGTGTATTGCCCAGAGTAGATTTTGGCTAAATATTTAATGTAGAATAATTCTTACTTCACTCATACCTCCTTGCAAACCAGAAGGCAACAAGATAACACACTGAAGGACATTTGGGTGCAAATCCTTGCCTGGATAGGACTTAACATGTATGGCAGAAAGAACATGAGGTCTGGTGGGGTGTGTGTGAGTGTGGGATGGATGGGAGAGGAGTTCTAAATTTGATTAAGGACTGTTGTATGAAATGTACAAAAGCTCAATAAAATAAATAAAAACCCAAAAGATAGATTCTTTTGAAATTTCATCAATTGAATAAGAAATATCCATGATCCCCAAATCACAAGCAATGTACAATATATACCAATTCTGTGTGATTTAGACAAATATAAGGGAGGATTCTGAGGCCTTCTCAGATATCAGAAAGAATAAAGATTTCCTTGGAGGTCAATAAAAGATCTACTCAAAGATTCCTTAGAGTCTTGTAGGATACACCGTATGGTCAAGTGAAAGTAAAAGTAAAGAAAAAGTCCACTAAGATCCAATTATACAATGCTTAACAGCAAGGGAGGTGGAACTGAAGGATGTTGGGAGACCTCTGTTATGCAAAAGTCGAAGCCCCTTCACACCGGACAGCTCATGCAGCTCGGGGAATGTGCTGCGGGCTCCTTTTCATAGCAAGGTGCTTTCTGGCATCTTTCCTGTCTCTCCCTTTGAAGTGGCCGCCACAGATGCCTTGACATAAACATGGCCTTTGGCTCTATGCATACCATGCCTTCCTGTGTGTGATTTTTACAGGTAGACAATAGTCTAGCAGAAACCCACTTCCACATGTAAATAGAATATCTCACAAAGTATCTAAAAGCTTTTACCACTACCCCCATGGTATATAAATATGCTAGTCTTCTCTTAATAGTCGGAGATCAGGCCAGAGACTGGGAGATCAGGTCAGAGACCCGGAGATTGGGTCCCAGAAAGCTGGATCAGCAGAGCGCTGGACAGCAAGGAGCAGAGATACAATAAAGCAGTAAACACAGACTAAGCCGTGCCTTGAGTCCTGTGTCTTACTACCGGCGACCACCTGAATAACTCTGCCAGGGATGAAATATGGTAAAGGCAAGAAAAAGAAGTACTTCTATGCCTCAATACAGAAAACCTATTATAAGAAGAGACTTAGCTAGGAACAAAAATGATCAATAGCAAGCATATGGACAAAAAGGAATCCTTGCATACTGCTGTAGTAAATATAAATTAGTATTGCCATTCTGGAAGACATTATTGTGGGTTTCTCAAAGAATTAAAAATAATACTGAATATTTCCAGCATACCTATACTTCTGGGTATGTATTCAAAGGAAATGAAACCAGCATGTTAAAGAGATACCTGAACTCTCATGCTCATTACAGCATTATTCACAGTAACACAAGAGTTGGAAATGTAGCTTAGTGGTATGACACTTGTTTAGCATGTGCAAAACCCTAGGCTTGTTCCTCAGTACCATAAGAGAACAAAAAACCAATTTTCTTATCTCATACAATAGCAATAATGTAGAAGTAACTTTAGTGTTCATTAATGGATGAAGAAAATAGGGTATTATATGCATAATAGGATAATGTTCAGTCACTCTCTTTTTGGGGTCTTTTTTGAGGCAGGGTCTCCCTGTAGACCCAGTTGGCTTGGAACTCACTATGTAGAAAAGGCTGGCCTCAAACTCACAGAATGTTCAGTCTTGAAAAAGAAGTAAATTCTGTTATTTATGACATAGGGGATAAACCTGGAGGATACTATACTCTGAAGTAAGTCGGGTACAAAAAGATAAATGCTTAAACAAATAGCTTTAGGTGGAATCTGAAAAATCAAACTCATAGAGGCAGAAAGTAAAATGGTTTTCATGGTGGGTAAGGAGGATGGGAAGATGGTGATCAAATGGTAGAATTTTAATTAGGATAAATGTGTTCTGGGTAGCCATAGTGCAGCATGGTGACTGGTTAATAATAATAATGTATTCTATACTTGAAAATTGCTGAGGGACCTTAAGTGTTTTCACTACAAACAAAAAATAATCATGTGAAGAGATGAATTACCTTGACTGTGGTAATTATTTTAGAATGTATACTTATATCAAAACATCATACACATCATAAATATCTATAGTGCAATTTTTATTCCTCAATTACATCTCAGTAAATCTGAAAAAAAAAACAAACACAAGTAAATGGAGGATGAGACAAAGAATGGAGGGATTGTAGTAAAAGTATGGAGAATTAAAAATTAAGATCTAACTGTGGAAATTACTGTTACAGAATAAAATTGTGTTATGAACTTTAGTAACATAAAGATAACAAAACAATGCACTAAAACTGGATGCTAATTTCCGATCTTTTCCAACAGGGATTTAAAGCAACCATGTCACAGGCACAGTTGGTGAGGCTATTAGTGATACATCAAGGATATTTAAAGACACTGAAGATAATATTTATAATTTGGGACTATACCTTTTATTTATCTTATTGTATGAAGAATTTTAAACTTTTTATTGGTTTAAAGATTATATACTTTCAACTGTTAGAATTATTAGCAAAAATACTGATTGATAGGAAAATGAGAAAGTGAAAAATATGATATTTTACAACTTTCAAGGAAATCTAGGGAGTGATTCAGGACTAGTTAATGAAGAATTCCAAGATGAAGCAGTATTAGAACAAAACTGGAAGATACAAATAAATCAGAGAGATATAAGATGAGCAATTTTAATGATTTTCAACAAGTGAAAAAGGAAGCAAATGCTAAGATAAGGTAGAATATAGACCAATACTGACATAGAGTTGGGCATGTAGCCCAGTTATAGAGCATTAACTTAGAATGTACATGGCCCTCCAAGGCTGAACAAAGAGAATACAGAGAAAAACATAAATATGTACCTCTGGAACTGAAGCTTCCATCAGAGACAGTGGAGGAGGAACACAGCCACCATCTTGTGCAATTTCCACGGGTTGATAAATAATGTCAGAAGGCTGCAGATACAGGAATGGAGCAGAAGAGGCAGGAGACTAAAACATAAAATGATACTTCTCATTCACATATAATTAGTTGTTTTTGTTAAGCAGACTTAGCCCAAAATTAAAGGAATTATTTGTTTCTTATTTAAATAAAATTATTTTTCAGGGTTAGCATAGAATTATTTTAGCAACAGACTAGGAAATCTGAGTTGTTATAAATTATAGTTGTGTAATATTGCCTAACAAGACCTACGTAATGATACCATGAATTGACATGCCAATGTGTATGGGGGAAATATCACAGGGTCCCATCTCTAGATGAAGAGCTATAGGCAATTAATGGATGCTGAGGGAGGGAGAATCAATTTTCTCCAGAGACAAGCTCCCTGATAGGTTATTTAGTCCCAAGAGGTCACTCCTAAACACATGTACACACAAACACCACTAAACTAATACAGTGCATTATATATATTTATATGTATGTATATTATAAATGTATGTATGTATATGTAATAATAATCAAAGAAGAGGACAAGAAATTGAGAGGGAATGGAGAGGGGACATGAGAGAAATTGGAGGGGGGTGGGACAGGAGGAATTGATGCAAATATAATCAGTGTGTAAGAAACTCTAAGAAAATAAGTTACATGTGTTTAGTGTTTCAGAACCTCATATGTGCATTCAGATAATAACTGTAGATATATTAATATCATGGTTAAAAGTTAAAATAATACGACTGTCATATTTGAACTGGTATAGATCTACTTTCATCTTTGTGACTTCCCTCAGGTGTAGGAAAATGCCACTAAATATTTTTTTTCTCAGGCTTGTTTGGTAGCTTTATTTATAATAAAATGTTGGGGAATGTTGAAGAATTTCAGTTAAAAGGAATTTCTATGTGTTACACAGGAATATGTCACATATGAACATGTTACATATTTATTTAGAGTCTGCTTAATCAATCATGCATTTAGTTTAATTAATGTCAACAAGAAAGGAAATAGATGTATGGACCTGTGATTTTCAGAGTAGCATCTTTGTTTTTTGTAGTGCCCTGGGGGATCAAGCACAAGCCTTAGGAGTGCCAGAGAAGAACTTTATTACTGAGATACCCTTAACCCTAGAGCTAGTCTTTTTTTTAAAAAAATTTTTTTCTTTAAAAAAATTATTATTATTATTATTATTTTGGTGCATGCATCTATAATCTGTATCTGATTATTACTAGCCACAGTCAGTTGCAATCAGATCCTTGGCACCTGTATATGTCTATAAAGTCATCAGGTAGATTTTAATGGTATTGTTTATTACCTCTACTAATTAGCACGACGTAAATTTCCATGCTTCCTCCTCGAATATAATACGTTTTTTAAAAATTTGATTTGTGTGTGTGTGTGTGTGTGTGTGTGTCTATTACACACAACATCCCAAACCATCTCATTCGACTATACACCCACTTACCAGATGGCACCCTCCCATAGCCTCCCTCCCCGTACTAGAGCCCTTATACTCTTATATCCCTGCTACTGTCTGCTGTGTTGAAGGCACACCCAGCCCTTCATCACTACTTGCCTTTCTGGTGAATCTAGTCAGCCTATCTAGAGGTCTTTGTTTCAGGAGGGTCAGCTGTTCCTTCTTTAGATAAGATTGGGGTCTGGTGTTCACTTTCCCAGTTCTATGCTGGGTTACTATCTGGGAGTCCCTTGGGCCACCCTGGCCAACAACTCAAAAGAAGATATCTCCTATCTGGCATTGTTGTTTTCTATGTAGCCTTTAGCTATACACATGGACTCTTATAAAATTATATTGGCCCCTTTAATCTTTGGTTATACTTTCCTTTTGGGTGTTTAAGGCCATACAGCTGGACCAGATAAACAAAT